GAGAGAGAGAGAGAGAGAGAGAGAGAGAGAGAGAGACGAACCTGCTCTAAAGATCATCTGTATAAAACAATTTAGTGAATTACCAGTACAAACTGCCAACTCCCGTTTCCCACTTGAGTTAAAATAAACTCATTGTTTTGGCACTGTGTAGTGTATCCACCTGTCTAAGATGGCCACTTTTCTCCTCGAAATTAGGTCACCGTCCTAGACAGTTTTGAATGTATCATAAGTATTCTACACCTTTTGAAATACATATCAAATTATACAAGGCTGTGTATTACCCGCAGTTCATCTTAGAATTGTGAGTGACTTTGTAATGAAACAAAGCAAAGACTTTGAAATAGGCACTAGAAAGACAAATGGCACGTATTTTTTGGAGATTTAGATTTTGGGGATGACATTTGCCAACTAATCACCCCCAGTGCATGAAATGCAATTAATTTGAAAACCAATGAATTAGCAAGATCCGCAGAATGATGTTTGCCTTGTAGACTGTTTTTTTCCCGAAACAGAAACGCTGTGATCATTGCTAAAAACCACCTCCATAATTCTTTATATGGAGAACTTCCAGCAGAAAGGTAAAATTAATCGAGTATATACCTTGAGAGCATTATCTCCCAAACTGCAGACTGCATTGACGACGTCAATCAAAGACTAACAATACATGGATTCCTTTTGTAAGATTAAAAACCATAATTTGAAATTCAAATATGACTTCACTGAAGACTAAATTGAAAGAAAATAAAAGCAATGTTTTTTGTCGACACTGTTGTATGGTTCAAAGTTATGGCAACCAAACAAATGAATTCAAAGAAAGTTAAAAATCTTTCAAACAACTGTTTACCAAGAATTTCACTAATAAAAAGGAAGGAATTTATAATAAATAATAAAGTTTTGCAAAGAGCTGGGATTGAAGATATCAACAGAACTATGAAAAGGACACGATGTAGATACTATTTCAGAAATGTTTTGAAAATTGCAGAGGTCATCGTTGTCCTACCAGACATGGCAAAGGAGACCAAAAAAGAAAAAGAGATAGACAAACTGGAAATTACAGAAACACAATGAACGATCAGGCAATCACCCAGGGCCTAGACATGCCAAAATTAGAGGAAGCCGTGTCGACTCAGTACAGGTATTCCTATCCCTCACCTTTCGAAAATCATCGCTTTTTTTCGTGCAACACTCTCTAACTCGAAAACCTGGCTACACAGAAGGTAACCATGTGGTCCTGGTGATTTCCATTTTAGCGTAGTGGTCTTCACTGTAGGTACTTGTTAGTTACGTTTAGTTTTCACTTTGCCATACTAAAGCATATCGCATCAACACCAGTTAAATTATGAGAAAGTGGTCACTAAATATAATTGTGTTTGATTACCGTAAATAGATGGCTGTCGAAGACTGGAACAACGCACAAGGCAACCGAAAACAACCAGATTCCTGCGACAACCATCAGTACACGAGCCCGGGTGACGATGACAGGGTAGCGTAGAGGCTGGTAGATAAACAGGAACCGGTCCACAGCAATGGAAAAGCTTGTGAGGAAGGACGCTATAGCCGTGGTGCTAAAACTAATCAGGAACGCTTTGCAATCAGACTGAAAAAAAAAATTGGCTGATTAAAACGGAATGTTCATAAAATATAAGTGGTTGTAATAGAAACAGGGTCGGTGAGTGGTGTGTTTGGGATGGGAGAATTGTGAGTGAGTGTGTGTGTGTGTGTGTGTG